GCACATTACAGCATCAACATGTCTGAAGTGTATAAAACCAGAAATACAAACATGATTTTATCTAGTATGTGGCAGGTATACTCTCTAGATGCTAGCCTAACTCCTCTGCTAGCCAATAGTAAAATTATTGAGTCCTTTTCTATGATGTTGATCCTTGAAGCATTGAATTTCTTTCAAATGCAAAGGAAATGGAAATATTCAGCCAAACATGTTTTTGGGAAATATAAACACATGTCACATGCAAACAAATGTATGTTCTGCTTATGCTTTTCTTTTAACCCAAAGTGTTATTAGTTTTTCTATAAAACTTTACTCCTTTTATGTCTCCTTCTTTGAAGTCAATGACAAATATCAAAAGTACTTAAGAAACTTTATCGCCCAAAAAGCAAAGGATTTTGAGTAATTCTCCAGTTTTCTATCCCTTGATGTTTGATTTAAAGTTTGAAAATGGCAGTAATTCTAACGGCTCGTCTGAAACACTTCATGTTTAAATACAGAGATGAGGTGTTGGACATCAGGGCAGTGTGTGTGTGTGTGTGTGTTTCTTACCTTACATGAGCAGACAGTAAACAGCAGCTGAATCACCCAAAGGACTTCAGGTGGACCCATCACAATACTCTTCTCACATGCAGGTCCCAGTAGTCTTGACCAAGGTTTGGCTTAACACAGGTATAAAAAAAAGAAAACTCAGGCTGTGACCCTGCAAAGCACTTAGGCGAGCCTCCAAATTCAGGTACCAGCTGGACACATACACCTCCCTTAGTTAGCTTCAGGGTTATGGACTAGTGCGGAGGTCAGGATGGAGTGAGTGGATCCCCTCTGGCTGTGAGGGAAGAACAGAGTCCTGGTGTCAGCTGCATAGTGAAGACAGCTACTCAGGCTAACTGGAGAGGACAAGCGTCTGAGGGAAGGTGAAAGAGGGGGTATAGGGAAGGAGGAGTTGGAGACCAGGATGGTAATCTGTTACGTCAACACAAACTGGATTACTGGGTGTGTGGGTGCACTTGAGACTGACCTATTGATATAACATATCACCCAAAGTTTTGGTTTCATAAGTCATGCTATAGATAACTGTATTTTTAGAAAGAGTACTTTTTCTGTTTGTCCTAGAATTCAGTGTAATTTCTAAAGGTTAAACAAGTGTTCAAGAAATTAATAAATTGATTAATTAATATTGGTCACATATACTTTTCATCAAAAATATCAAACAGTCCCTGGATCCAATCCGTCAATTATGCAGATTATTTTTAGGACTGCAGATTAATTGAGCATTAAAGGTTAATTGTATCAAACAGGCAAAATTATCCAGAGTGATCACTTGACAGTTGGAAATACTGACACTTTAGACTTTCTTAAGTTTACATGAGCGGCTAAGCCAGTGCATTAATCAATCACAATTTATGGTCACATTTTCAGTGGCACCTTTCTGTAATATATTTTGGGTCTAAATACTTTAGCCACTTCAATCATGATTATAGCTAATTACACAGAAAGTCATTTTTTTACCTTTATTTATTTATTTATTTATTTATTCAATGTACAGAAGTGTATTGGATGCAGATGATAAAATAAAAATTGTCTCTTTTTAATGAGATATTTATCTAAGAATTGCCTACAAATTATGTTTTTATGGAAGCATTTAATTCTTGCCCTGTTTTCTGAATTAATAAGACTTTTATCTCACATCACAACAGAAGCTTCCTTAAGAAGAGAGAGCATAAAGTATCAAACATTCCCAGACTGTTCAGTTTAACCCAGGTTTTACTTTGGGATCGGTTTGGACAGATACTCATGTTGAAGGACACATAGATGATATTGGTGTGTCAGTTATATACACATTAGATCAAATGCGAAGAGAGTACAGAAAAGAAAGTACAGTACAAAAGAGTACAGTAAACTAAAAAATAGATATTTGACCATTTTAACTTTCGTTATAATTAATTCAGGCATTTTAGGTGTATTTAACTTGAAACAGTGTGAAGAACATACAGCTTAGTCGGGAGCTCGGTAAGTTTAGCCACACACTGCTTGAATCTCTACTGTGGAACATGTGGAGATAGATTATGTTGGTACCTTTTGAAGTTGAAGGGACAAAATATGTTTTTATGATTGAAAACCATTACAGGGTCAAAGCAAGGCTTAGGAAAGAAAGAAATAAAAAGCTTTTTCTCTGTGTCTACTGTTTACAAAAACTTGAATTTGCACTCAATGGGTGATTTCCTAAACTGTGACCACAGATTGCAAACGTGTGCACACTGTGAACACAGCTTAGAAAACCCAAAGATTAAAACTTCCACATGGATTTGTATACTGTGGGAACGGATTTACAAACAGCTTTTTTTTCTTACCTGAGCCTTAGGGGCTAAGTAGACCATGGGTATTTTCCTATCCTATATTTGTCAAGATTATATTGGCCTATTCACTTGTGACTTCATTTTTGGCTAACTGAGGGACAACAACAACATTGCTTACATTAGTTTAACTATAACCCACCAACTGTTGGAAAGGGAAAGGGTATTTTTTTATTATTCATTTGCTTTCCCTAAGCTCTTTGGAAACTTACATTAAACTTCCATATAAGATGAAAGGGAATAAAATATTAACCAGTTTGCGATCCGTGCCCTCTCAACATGGTTTGGTTGGAGCACCGGGAGTACACTCAGGCTGAAGTTCATGATGTGACTGACTTTCCTATCACGTCTCATTTCTTATAAATATTTAATGGCTAAAAATGAGAGGCTAAACACTCCTGGATGAGCTGTGTTTGTCTTCTTCACCTCATTAATGTTTCAGCATTGTTGAAAAATATCTTTTTGATACAATGCAGATATTGATAGAAGAAAGACGCTCATGCGCCAGCTACTGTCTTAAAGATGAAGACAAAAAATCTGTAAGCTCCATCCACTGTGAACGCCTCCAACTGAGCGTTTCAGCCAGTCAAATGCTGTATTCACAGTCTAAACTCCTGCACTAAACTCCTGAAAGCATTTGAGCTGCATCTGAACTTTTCCCTCCTAATTTACCCAGAACTTTTCCTTCCAGCCCCCCAGTACATTTTCAGTGTCAAGTCAGGTTGAGCAGATGTGAGAACGCAGGAAATAACCAGGGAAATTCACCGCAAGCGGGGGTGGTTATGTTGATATCCTGCTGCGTGCATGTAAAGAAACTGCTTTATTATGTTTCCTGTTCAACAGAATGTTCTTCTTCGCTGCGTTGTTGGTAACGTTGTGATTTTGTCGAACAGGCCTTGATACAAAGAATTCTTATAATACAGGGTTGCCACTCTTTTCTAGAGATCCTTTTCTAGAAATGTTTCCAGGACATTTTCAGACATTTGACAATTAATCTGGTGTAACAGAAACGCATCAGGCCCATACAACAATATGTTTCTTTCTGATTAAAAAAAGATGTGCAGTCTTTGGCTATCATCATGAACTCTAACATGCTGTTAAATCCTGCATATTAATCATAGAATCATTTAAATAAAGCTGCAGATGTATAGCACCTTAAAAAAAAAAAAAAAAAATAGGCTTGTCATTTACAAAATAAAGAGCCAACAAAAGTATCTTGCACCTCCTTTACTCAACAACTGATTTTTGATACTGATTATTCCATCAAATAATCAGGTGAAACAACTTTGCTGTGTGATTTTATAGGTTACTAAAAGAGACTCTTTAGCTTCAGAGTAAAATAGGGACTTGTCAACATCTGTCTTGTCACAACTCTGCATCGAAAATGTATCAAAATTATCAATATAAAAACCTAAAACGGTAGCAAAACAGTAGGCTATTTCACACTTTGATGGAAACAAAACCTGAAGTTGGACTGTAAAGTTAAAATGGCCATTTCTAGGAGCATAGACCATTCAATATCAAACTCTCCCAACAAATCCTAACAAGAATACTACACATACATTTGAAAGCAGCGCTCCGAGACACACAGAACATTACATGAAACAAGTCTGGTAGCACGTCAAAACCATAGACTGTAAATATTACAAAAACAACGTTTTGTCAAAACAAAACATGCCAATTAAAAAATATTATTAAACAGTTGCAGCTGTTTAAAACGCGACGGGGAAAAACGCGACGTTCATATATAAACCTAATAAAAAACTAACTACGGTAAGCAGCCAGCAGCAGGGACTCATATTTTTACATTAGAAACTATTTCGTACATTATTTGTAGAAGTTTCAGCCGCTACTTGTAACGTTACCTAATCCAGTCTGCAGCAGGTGCTACTGGGTGATGTGTCCTGGCTGGGTGTTTACAGCACATAGATGCATGTGTGAACAAGCATCAGACCACAGGGGCAGTCGGCCTGGGATTGGGAGGCAGTAGCTCAGTCTGTAGGGACTTGGGTTAGGAACCGGTTCAGGTCCCGGTGCGGACCAAATATGGATGTTGATCTGGTAGCTGGAGAGGTGCCAGATCAACTTCACCTGAGCACTGCCGAGGTGCCCTTGAGCCAAGGCACCAAACCCCCTTCCCACCACCAGCTCAGGAGCGCCTGCCGTGGGGCGGCTCCATCACTCTGACATCTCTCCATTAGTGCATGTCCAGAGGATCCTGTTTGTGCATGTGTGTATATTTCAGCCTATGTGTGTGTTGCATGATTTACAGAGTGTAAAAACAGAAATTCCCCTTGCGGATCAATAAAGTAAATCTTGATCTTTGATTTTCTAGAACATTTCCAAAGTGCATATGTGAGTACAGCAAAAGTGGTGGATTGGCTGATCTACTATTTGCAGAAATTGCTGTAAATTAATTGACACACATTAAACAGTCTCATGTCATCAAGAACGAACCCTGTCACCATGGAAAAAGAGTGGCCTGCATAAAAGGAACTTCACTGGTTGTAAGGTAAGTGTGTCCCTTTTCCCCTGAGATTTCTTTGTTGTCTTTTCTTTGCGAACAAGCTCAATAAAACAAAATCCCATCACGTTAACTTAAATGTACATTATGTACTTTTATTAAAATATGTTAGTCACTTCCCAACAAAACTAAGCATAGACAGACATTGAGGCAGTCATGTACCACAGTTTGGTTTGAAATGTTTAAGAAATATATAACATGGATTCACAATATAAAAAAAATGCACTGCCCCAGTTCCCTTTTACAAAATAATGTACTCCTGTAAGGAGCTACATAACAGCACCGTGATGAATTACACTCCAATATACATCACATTACAGTTAATAATAACAACAAAATTACAACAACAAACAAGAATAAACACAACAAGTTGAGGTTTGATAATAACATGTAACTACATGGTGAGTGAATGTGCCTGAAATGTGATGTTTCTGTATTTTTAAAGAGGATTCACTGATCATAATATTCATAGGCGTGTGTATAGATGAGGAATGAGTGCATAGATCAATACATGGTTAAAAGAAATAGTTGAAACAGTGGGAGCACCAATCACTCCTTCAAAGAGGAATGACTCAAATAAACTAATGATGCAGCTGACAGTCAATGCAATGTTAATGAGAAAGCTGTGAAAATGGATGAGATCAAAAAGAAGGCTAAGAAGAATTAATGAGTGAATGAACATCTGTATAAAACAATTAAATTGAAATGACAGAACACTGTTGTAGGTAAATCAACTTATAAATATTTTGTCCAGGTAAAGTCTTGAATGTAGTTTTCTCCCTGCATATAAAAAGTGTCCATGGCTCTTTTTTTCCTATTAAATAATTCCCTTTTTAAGCCCCACCCTCGGATTTGTTAACCGTTGTAGCAGACCGGGCCAACTTGGAAACCAAACTTCTGGTTTCCCTTCCCAAAATCAGGCACGGAGATGTCGATGATGGGGAGCGTGTTGGACAGTGGCGCATCAAATTCCAACACTGTCCTCTCTTGCCCTGAGCGTGTCTGCAGGAGAGAAACATAATCCATCAATCAGAAAGCAAAAAATAGATGCAAGTGTTCTCAAGTGATGATTTTGTTAATGAAAAATATGAAAATAATGTGTGTCCATTTTTTATTTCACATTTGTTGAGGAGCGACAGAGAGAGTAGGAGCTGACACGATAACAGGCGCCAACAGGTTCACACCAGCCTGACCAAGCAGTGAATGACTAGGTTGTGTATATAATCATATTATTAGCAACCTTATAGGGCTAACATCGTGTCCTAACAGCATGTGACACGAGCAAGCGTCAAAAACAGAATCAGCTTGTTTCAAGTTTTTTTCCTATTTGAGTGTCCTGACAGCCCGTCAGCAACGCAGCGGGACCTGACACATCATCTTTACACTGCAACCCTGTTTAAATTTTCATTCCGTGTCAGTTTGAATTGCCCCCCCGGGGACAAATAAAGTTTTTTGAATTGAATTGAATTGAATTCCTGGTGAATGCATAGACATGGACGAGGAACAAGGGACTCAACGGAGTAGTGGCGCATTAATAGTTCACACATCTGTGATTCAAATGTGCCTTGAATTGTTTCAACACCGGACAGATAAATTAATTTGGCTCACCACGGGCCATTTATTGAGGAGCCTTTGAGTGTTGTGATTTGAGTCAATAGCTCCTTAATACAAAGGACCACACTTCCGTTTTTCAGCCTTCAACACAAAAGCACCAAATGTCATACTGTTTGCCAGGGGTAACTAATACGTATTGGGATAATTGAATTATTTTAGAAGACAGAAAACATTTTGATTAAAAGTAATGACTAAATTATCACAGCTTTTGAAAGACTAAAACTGGAATGAAATGTATTGAATTTTCCAAGTTGGACAAGACTTAAAACCATAAACGGTAAAAATGACTAAAATACAACTCAAACTAATGAGCATTTTTGTCTTAACGCAAAATCTAAAATAGCTGCCAAAATTAACACTGAAGTTCACGCTTGAATTTGTGTCTGTGCTACTTACCTGACACCCATCGTAGAGTGCACTGATGTAATGTGTGTTCTCGTGTGTCAGCTCCTCCCCATTGCTGCCTCTGAAGTGCACTGCATGTTCGTGGCTGTAGGTGGCAGCATGCAGCCAGGCAGCAGAGTTCAGGCAGTGGTAGGTGAAGGTTTGCTTGGCTGTTGCGCTCAGTAGCTGCAAGAAGGTCAACTGGACCACGTGGACTGGAACACCATCAGACCCTGAGTATGAAAACTGGAAGAAAACACCAGAATCACTCCAACACACTTTAGTATAGAACACAGAAATGTAGTTTTGTACACTTAAATTCTGTTCATTTAATTCTACGAGAGTGTTAAAACTGATTTATTGATGGAGAACGCTAGATTTTTGGCAGGATAACTTTCCTGAATTATTAAATGTAATATTTTTACACTTAGCTCACTGGAAGCCTCTGAATATTTCTTCGAATGTTGTGTCAAGACGTTTGGCACAAGAGGGTTTATAAACCCAGACTAACCATTTCTTTGAACCATGAACCACAGTCATACTGTTTCACTGCAGCAGCTACAGTCTTCGTTCTTATAGAACATACCTGAATGTTGCTTAAACCCGCTCTTTATAAGAAGAATGGATATTTATGGCCTTTCCTATTTCAGGTGAGTGGCAATAGTTTTACCATCATCATCATCATCATCATCATCATCATCATCATCAGTCTTTATTTGAAAAGCACCAATTCATAACAATGTTTTCTGTAGACACTTTACTACCGTACTATTAATTGTATATATAGAGAACCAGAGATCAATGCATCGCTCATTATTAACATCTCAGCAAGCTGTTGTAACATAGCAACTGTAGCAAAAAGCTCATTTGATCAAAATAATGGTTAAGTGTGTTTTCAAAGCTGAAGAAAAGTGATGTTGATTTGCATTCAATAGAAAGCTAAGGTTGGCGATAGCTCAGCTAATAACAAAGCTAGCCCCCTGTAACAGTTTTTTGTGTCATTTTAACCGTTTAAATAACGGGCCTCTTGTTTAGGGAGAGTATGAGCTATGTACTGTACAGGTAGCTCAGGTCCTGGTAAAAACCTCAAAAGAAGATGAATACCGAAGGAACCCTTAAGAAGAAACAACCTTAACACCGCCGCTCACAAACCTTATTGCAGTGCTGTTGCTCACAGTTAAAAAATGCGTAATAATTGCACACTCGACACATTCGTACACATTTGCAGAGGTGTTTGTAAAATTCCTTTGCAATGTTCTGTTGGTTTGAAAATATTACCTTGCACAAATTGATAGTATGGAAAATCATCACACTGTACCTGTTTTCCTTTCCTGAATGTACCATACCAGGAGCCAGGCTTTTCCCCTTTCCAGGCTGCTAACTTGACCTGAAAAACAGAAAATGATTTAGTTTATTTCAATCTCTTCATGAAATGTTATTCAGCTCATATTGGCTTTAAATTGTTTAATAGATTCTTAAAAAGTGCCCAGTGAAAGTGTGTGTTTGTGTTTTTCTGTAATTAAACTTACAGACTGGAACTTCTTGTCGGGGTACAGACACGTCTCTCCCTGCGCAGTAAAGTTACAGAACACCTTGAAGGAGTCTCTATGGCAACCCTGGTTTGGATCTATCCAGTACTCACCTGAGAGAGAGAGAGAGAGAGAGAGAAAAGAGTAAGGAGGGCAAGAGAGATAAAAAAAAAAAAACACCTGAAAAAAGCAAAACACAGCAAACAAAACAAAAAATCCCACACCATATCAGATGGTCAAATAGAAATTCAACAGCTAGACAGAGTAAAAAACACCCAGATAAGACAAGTCTAGACATGCAGCTGACTTAGTTGAAAACATAAACTGATAAAGTACCGTTAGGGAGCTCTGGGTTGAGGAGCCAGAGCTCCTTGCAGGTGCGGGCTGGGCTGTGGAACGTCCCCATGGGGATACGCAGACCCTCCACCTCAACTTTCATAGAGGACAGAGACGCAAACACCTCCTCCATGCCTTTGCTATCCTTCTCCTTCATCCAACTATCTGTCCCGCCTGGTCTCCCTGCATCCATTCCTCCTCTCCTCTATCTACCGACTCCTCCACCTGCTCCTCTTCTTCCTCAAGTGCAGCACCGTCCAGCACACTGTCCGTTCTCCTCCTGCGTCCTCGCTCTGGCAGAGGGGACATCCCGACTGCTGGCAATCCCTGAGGAGATAAGAAGAGCAGAAAGAAAGACTGTGATGGCGAACAAAACATATGACAAATAAACAGATAAGCAGGTGGGTTATGTTTTTAATAGTTGTATTGGTGCTTCATGTCCTCAATGTCTTAAGTTGCAATAATTAATTATAAACAATAATTACTGGTTGTCCTGGGGGTCCAGCAGGCCCAGTGTCTCCTCGAGGACCAATAGGGCCCTTGATAGAAACAGAGCAAATAGATCAATATGGGTTTTTGGAGAGGTATCAGGCTCTGACGTGGTAGCTGTTATTAATCCAATACAACAATCAGCAACACATTTACCTGGTTTCCTTTAGAACCCTTTGAACCGATGGCACCCTGTGAGAGTGTAAAGAGTCAAAGATAATGTGAAAGTTCTCAAAATGCTTACAGTACTGATGTATATTTTTGTATTGGTGTATAATCATCTCGTATACTCACAGACAGACCAGTGGGGCCAGGAGGACCATGAAAACCTAGTGGACCAACTGGACCCTGATTTTACCAAGACAGAAATATGAACGTCAGAGAATGAGAACAAGAAGATTTCTGAGAGAAGAAAAAAAAAAAATAAAAGTTGTTTTGAATCATGTCGTGATGACTATTAGGAAAAATAGAATATAGTAGAAAGACGGAGCTTATATACAGATCACGTGGATGCATGGCAATTACACAACAGCAACAAGAAAAGGATGACAAGCCCGCACTCTGACTCACGACCCAAAAATTTAATTATCAAACTTTTTCAACAAAATGTCTTTGTCAGGTAATAGTTTTGGAAAAAATGAGGCAACCACCGTTCTCACTGACAGGCTGATTAGGACTATGATGGCAAGTGTGGTCAAAGATGCATTTTCTAACATGTTTTGTAAGAATTTAAGACATTATGTTCTAAAAATTGTCTGGCAATACAAAGCTTTTTTTTTAACTTTGCATAATTCATGTTGTTTATTTTAATTCTAAAAACATAAAAATATTGTTAGACTTATCCTTTTAAGATGGATTAACCTGCTCAGATCGACTATAGGACTCGATGGGACTTCAGCATTAGTTAAACACTTTGCTCCTTGTTTTCCGTATGTCAAACATAATGTACTTGTTATTAATCACTTAACTTATCTGAAAAAATGCTTGAAAACGTACACCATACAATAACAACAATTCTGAATTGCATGTTCAGGTGAGTGCGACTTTTCAAAAAATAATTAATTTTTGTTAATAGTTTTTCTTTTTTCTTTATTGGTGAAGATCCTGTCAGGAGATCAGCAAACTTGTATCGCAAAACAAAATAAATGCCTATCCTATATCGCCGTCCCAGTATGAATACATATATAGACAAATAGAAACGATCTCAACACAACAAAATGAACAAGTGACAAGAACTGTTATAAAACTCTGAAGTTTTACCTGTAAAAACTTATCTTATCGTCACTAAATATATGTTGTCAGCTTCAGTTTGACATTTTAGGGTATGAGGCCATGCTGGGTTAACCGCCACAAACATACTCTTAGGCCCACATTTTGCCTGTTGGCACCTTGTCCCCCTATCGCTGGTCGGAACCAGAATTACAAGTCGGTCAAATAAATTATTAATAATTTTGGCCCTTGATGTTGGTCAAATGTTATCCTCAGACTGAAACGCAGCCCCCTGCCACTAGCTGGGGCAGTAGCAATACACTAGCTGCAGCTCCAATTAATGGGCCTGCTCTTTTTGCTCTACTACCCAGATGTACACAAGCACAGAAAATGGATGGTGCGGTTTGGCAGTGTCAGGTTAAAGTGGCATATTGACTAGAGCAATGTGTAACTACATTTAGAACAGGAATGTGGACGTTTACATGCAAGGAGGACTGAAGACAGGGGATGCTAGCAGAGCTAAATCTTAGCCCCACTCTGCAATGTATGTGAAGCACCTCATCTCCCTTAGGACCCGGCAGTCCCTGGTTCCCTGGCAGTCCTCTGTCCCCCTTCTCTCCAATGTCTCCTGGTGGCCCGATCAGACCTATAAGACCACCATGACCCTGCACAGACGTCAAAAATAAGCTCAGCAACTGTATAAAGTCAAGGTTTGTATTAACTGATTATGCTTGTATAGAATGCACATACTTTGTCCCCCTTCTTGCCGTGGTCTCCCTTCAGTCCTGGTAATCCAGGTGGCCCCTGAGGGAAAGTAATGTTTGATCAAACAGTTGATAAACTGAATAAAATTGTTTTTCTTTCTTGCTATTTATTTGAAATATTATTTTTCTTCTCTGTTATGTTATTGAATCTATGAATTGTCATACCATGGGACCTGGGGGTCCTGTCTGGCCTGGGGGTCCATTTAAACCTTGTTCTCCCTGAGAGAAGACAAAAAGACAGGAGTAGTAGAACCTCAGTTTTTGTTATGCTACACTGCAATGCTGCAAATGATCTTATCTCTAACTTACTGCAGGCCCAGGGATCCCTCTTAAACCTTTAGGTCCAAAGTTTCCTGAGTGTCCCTGTGCACCTACAGGTCCTGTCTTCCCTATGGGACCCTCCAAACCGCGGGCACCCTGAAACAGAATGAGAACAGGGTGATGTACTGTGAAGTTATAAGCATTCAGATGTTGTTATTTAATATTGTTTTAAACACTCACCTTTGCTCCTTTCAGGCCTGCCTTTCCTTCTTTTCCTGGTTTCCCCAAGTGGCCCTGAACACAGCATTTAAAACTGTTTTACATGAATGTACTGTTTTACACTGATGCACAAATAACACAAAAGTTCACACAGAGATGGTATGAAAGGATTGAGAAACACACACTAAAAGTCATTATAACAGGGGAGGAGAGTTTAGATATCAATTAGTCTAACAGAGAATTAAAAAAATTTGATCCTGACGCTGACATATGAACACAAAAACACAAACCCTTCTCCCAGGAGGTCCAGATGGCCCAGGTTCGCCTGCGCTCCTGGGGGTCCCTAAACAAAATGAAAAAAAAAAACCCTATCATATGGCAGTACGTGCATTGTGTGATGACGAAAAAACGTTCATGATCTATAACTTGAAAAATATTTGTGTTATGTTGGAAAATGGAGGAGCTCACAGATTTTCCAGGGTCTCCTGTGTCTCCTTTAGACCCGGACAGGCCATCTACACCCTAATATAAAAAAATGATGGACAGAAGAAGAGTTTTATTCTTCGAGGAAAATAAAGTAGGAGATTTCTATACAGCATTATAAAAAACATGTTGAAAACCCTTAATCTAAAGTAATGAAATAAATGTGATAAAATTATGGGACATATTAAATTAGATAAATAAAAACCTGTAAATCATCTGTAAGAAATTGATGAAACACATGATATTAATACAACCAATAAAGCTAAATGTACCAGATTATAAATGAGCACATGGGAACGTTTTCCTTCTCTACACATTATGTTTAAACATTGAATTATGTCTCCTGATATGATATGAGGTTAATGCTCTAGTTCTGCCTATTAAATATGTATTCATTATTTTCTTCAGCTTTGGTCCTTTAAGCAGAAAGAAACAAACTGAATTTTTGCAGAGATATCTTCAAGCAAAGGAAAATTACATGGTTGATCCCACAAAGACCTACAAGGTAATTTCCTGCCAACATTTGGGTTCGAATTAAAGTTGCAGAAAAAAGAAGTTGAATAAAAGGAGAGAAACTCACGTTGGGTCCAGCCTCTCCCTGCTGACCGAGGTCCCCGGTGAGACCTATAGGACCCTGAGGAGAGAGCGAGGGAGAGTTTGAGCTTATTCTGCACTTGAATACATGGTACAGGAGTAGTAGGCTGGAAACCTGTGTGAAATCATGTGCCCTAAAAATGCAACGCTAACTGCAGAAGCAGAAAAGTTCACAGAAATGGGAATTGTTGAAATGCCTCCATATCTTTTGAGTTGAATAAATACTTAAAGACAGGGTTGGTAATTTTCTACAGATACACTTTGTTTGAAATTGTCTTTAGGTCCTGACAGACATTAATAATTCATGTGCTCTGAAAAAAGAAACGAAGAAAATCCGTCATCTGTAGCTGTTGTAAGCATGTAAAGACTTTGACCAATGTCTGCCACGAGGTACCAATCTGATGAACCAATCATGTCTCCCTGTCTCCCTGCCCGTTCTCTACCCCATGCATTCACGAGCCCACACTCAAAGCACGAGTAGAGGTCCGCTTCTGGACCAATGGGCTTGTGCAATGTAAGTGAGGGGCGTGGCTTTTGAGGGAGCACAGAGGGGAGGGGGTGGGTGCAGACGGAGCACTGAGGGAATGCTACTTTCAAAATCATGCTAGTTTTTCAAAAATTACCAACCCTGCCTTTAATGCAAACAAACTGATTGTTTAAGAGTCTACAGTACTTCACTGTGAATGACTCATCTCCTGATCGAGTCATTCACAGCGAGTGAAGAGGTAGCTTATGTATCAGAATGGGGCGATCTGACTTCCAAACAGTCATTTGAGAAGACAGTGAACACGAATGGCAGTCAGTAAAAGAGGCTCCTTCTGTTGCAGGTAAGTCTTCAATAACTTTTGATTCTTGGGCACTGACGTTCGGCTAAACATACGACTATGCACCGATGTTGGGCTGTTTGATTACATCTGGCTTACATTATGCCAAGTTCAAACATAGAAGTCTGAGTGGTCCTGTGTTTGCATTCTTAATGCTGTATAACAGGTGCCTTGGTATGTGTAGTGGTGAGCGCGTAGAGGTCATTTTGGCTAAGCAGCAGGGGCGGATCCAGGGGGTTGCCTGGGCACAACAACCCAAAATCTTAAATTAACTATTAGGCAAATTGACAGCCTCTACAGTGAATAGTCACGATTACGTTTTTTTAATCGATTGACAGCACGATTTTAAAGTTACAGTTTATGACAACACATTTATGGTGAAAATTGTCTCTCACAGCGTTGCCCTTGGCTCCATCCTCTCCTGTAGAGCCTCTTGCTCCTGGAGGACCAGCTGCTCCTGAAGGGCCCGTATCTCCTTTCTCTCCCTGGTCTCCTTTTTCTCCCTGAAGAAGCAAAGGAGCAGAGTGAGCGATTAAGAAAAAGTGGGGCAGAGGAGAAGCGCAAAAGAAGCTTAAAAACCCCAATATGGTGGAAGCAAACTCTTTGATCTATTACTTTGAAGTTGAAATGTGCCCCGAAATTAAAAGCAAATAAACTCACCAGCCTTCCTGGAACACCGACTGAGCCGGGGTCCCCTGCCTCTCCATCCTCCCCCTTAGAGAGAAAATATATGCAAGAACTTGAGGACGGCACAATTTCTTTAGGGAGAAACATTATCAAAAAGTATGTTTTCTAAAAAGTGTAAATTATTTCTTCACCTTCTCTCCATTACCACCACCCGTTCCTATCATCCCAGGACGACCGTTGGGACCCTGCACAAAACAGCCAAGATCACAGCATTTTATCAGAATTAAAAATTAATGCTTGACTAATCAAGGATGCATTAAAATAAGCGTGAGACTTACCTGTCCCCCCACGGGTCCTTGAGGACCATTAGGGCCTTGTTGCCCAGGTGGACCCTAAAACAGAGAGACAGAGAATTGTCAGCGAATTAATTTGTGTTGATTAAGGTCAAATGTGAAAGTTATAAGGGACGGATCGTTAAACAGGGTATTATCTCACCATCAGTCCCACGTGTCCACTCTCACCCTTCTCTCCTGGGAGGCCGGGCATGCCCTGTGGTTAAAAAACAAACAGGATGCAAGAGGATTAAAAAAAGAAGCTCCAAGTTCAATCCATCTATCCAGAAGTCGTTTGAAGGGCCTGACTGCTCCACAAATCTCACCTGTAATCCTATTGGTCCTTTGGAGCCCTTGAATCCACGGAGTCCCTCATCTCCTTTCGGCCCATACATGCCCTGCTGGCCCCGGGGGCCCACTAGACCATCTATGCCCTGGTGCACAGAGGAATGTGTAATGGTGATGAAGTTCACAGAGAGGAGTCAAAATGTGTTTTTTATTTTTGCCTTTATTTACACTTTTTATGAGAGACAAGGTAACACCCTGTTTTGTGTACAGTAAATGTGTAGTTCAGAAAATAATCACTAGGTGGAGCCTTGTCTTATGCTATACATAAAGGCAAGGCACCAGATGAGTAAGGCTGGTGTGTGAACGATAGCGTGACAGCCAGTCCGAGTGTTACCAGGATTTTGGATTGAATTTGACCGTTTTATGTTTAATTGTTTTGTATGTGGACAGATTGGAACATAATTTGCAATGATTGTAATGATAATCTGGAAGCTTCTGGAAGCTTGTCACACGTTTTAAATAGTTAAACTGTCATCTCACTGACTATATCTACAATTAGGAATGTTAAAATGGGTCACAACATGTATTTGCTTTCTTGCTGATAGATGGTTGAGAAGATTGATACCACTCTCATACATGGAAGCTAAATAAAAAGCTACAGCTAACAGCTGGTTAGCTTAGTTTAGAAAAGGATTAGGAAAAGGGGTTAACAGCCACCCCGGCTCTCTCCACAGGTAACAAAACGCAACAAACCCGAGCTAACTTTATATCTTGTCACAATTCTTTCTTAACTAATCTTTATAAAAAAAAACTTTTGTGACATGTTCCCTCTCCAAGATGAACAAACTTAGCTTGACACTCTAAACAAGTGTTTATGAGAGGGCTTTCCAGGTGTTGTTTCAAGCTAAGCTAGGCTAACTGTGTCCAGTAGTAGTAGCTTTGTAGTTAACAAACCAATATATAAGGGATAATGGCCTAAGTTTCTAACTCCCAGCAAAGAATATACGTGCAAGGTTGCCAATAAAATGTATTATTTCTAACGGGAATGAAATGAAGTATGAGCCCTTTCATCCTCCAGATCAAAGATAAAAATCAAACCAGAGTGGGTATAAAACAGCATCTATTAATATTTCTCAAAAGAAGACATTTTCACATGTGGGACTACAAACACTTCTCTATAAACATGTTTATGTAGGATTTGAGACCTTCTTTTGCTTTTTCACACTGACTAAAGATAAGAAATAGTTCAAAGAGAAGAGGAGTAGACTCACTGGAAGTCCTGGCTGGCCGACTACCCCCTGAGTGCCTGTAGGTCCAGAAGGACCCTGTAGGGAGAGAGGGGGGGGTAAGCTTTCAGACATGATCAGATCTAATCTGGTTATGAAATTTAGGCCATATTGAGCTGTACACTCACTGATTCTCCTTTGTCTCCTTTGCTGCCTTTCTGGCCAGACTCTCCCTGCTCTCCCTGTAGACAATACACAAAAAGATTCACAATTTATCACGGGGTACAAACACACATTTAAACTCTCAGCAACAGTGAAACACAAAGAAACAGACAGTTTACCTTATCCCCATCGTCTCCTGGATGTCCTGCAGAGCCTGTTGCCCCAGGCAACCCAACAGGTCCCTGATCTCCATCCTGACCTGCTGGACCGATCGGTCCCTTCTCTCCCTGGAACACACAAACATTCAACATGTGTTGTCTGCTTACAAGAAAAATGAACACAGACAGTGTTGTGCAGGTTCACAATTAAGATGAGCTAGATCAGAGCTCATTCCACAGAGCTTAAAAATAGGAGCAAAAAAGAACTGTATACAGAGGTAAGCTAGGGAGGCAGAGAAAAAGAGGGAGATAGCACAAGAATAGATATCAGCCCTGACCTGATGTGTTCATATTATTGCAATAGCGAACGTACGGCCTATATGATTTAAGACTATATTTTTTAAAAGCACTTTAGGAAACAAATTCAGAATTAAAGGATTGTGTGCAAACTGTTCAGTTCACCATTCACCAAAAATTTGAGCATGATCAATGAACGCGCTCATTTAGCGTTCAAAAAGTACATTCTTTAATTTCCTTGTCCCTGAAAATGAGTAAAGTCTATAGCAAAGACTAAACAAACCTAAAAAAAAACCTTAAGTACATTAATATAGAAAGAAAATGTATATAATTAATTACAGGCTCGCCCTTCTCTCCCATTGGTCCAGGTCCTCCAATTGATCCGGCTCGACCAGGCTGTCCGATGGCACCCGCTGACCCTGGAGGTCCCCTCTCACCTGACGCCCCCTACAGAAATAACACGTTGTTTAACATCACTGGAATGATAATGGTTTTCAACACATGATTTTAACCCCTGCAACGTAGAGGTGGATCCTTTCACAAACAAAAAACAGACAACACCCTGAACTTTATGAACATAAGAGACGTTCTGAGACTCACTAAAGCTCCTGGGGATCCATTAGGTCCTGATCCTCCTTTCAGGCCAGGAGGTCCCTGAAGAGATTAAACATTAGTTGTACATGTTGCTAATATCATTTTCAGTAGAAATACATGTGTCGGTTGTGTACTGTATGTATTCATGTGTATGTTACCATAACTCCAGGAGCTCCTCTGCTTCCTCTGAACCCCTTCAGTCCTGTAGGACCATTTTTCCCTGATGTCCCCGGTAAACCCGGATCACCCTGAGATGCAGAATGAATTACTCAATAAATAAATCAGTAATTAATAGGAGGTTTATTTATATAGCTACTAAGACACATAGTTCTGAACATCACAGGGATAAAACAAACAAAATCAAAACACAGATAGATTGTAGAAGAGTATGAATATAGAGAATATGAGCAAGGAAAGGATAGAACAAAATAATAATGACACTCTGAAATTATATTCACTGTTAACATGCGGGTGGACCAACCTTTCCTCCTTCTTTCCCAGCAGCCCCAGGTAAACCATGCTCTCCTGGAACACCTGGTGCCCCCGGGTGTCCTCTGTCACCTGTTGGACCCGGTTCACCTGATTTACCCTGAAACACACAACATTGACAGAGTCAGTTACACTGATACATACCTGAAGTCCAAGGCAGGAGACATATTACATAAGTTATTCACCTGAGGCCCCACAACACCTGAGGGTCCTGGAGGCCCCGTCTTCCCTTGGAATCCCTGAAGTGACAGAAGAAGAAAAGTTGAAAAAAAATCTTTAATGTGTGTGTGTGTGTGTGTGTGTGTGTGTGTGTGAGTGAGAACATTTCTCACAGAAAAATTGCAGCTACTGATGACTTTTTCTGACCTGTCATGAAATTTTAACCAACTCACCGGCTCTCCTCTTTGACCTGGGTGACCTGGAAGTCCGTCTTTCCCAGCAGGACCCTTTAAATACACACACACACACACACATACATGAGCACACACTTAGAGAAACATGGGCACATACACACACAATTATAGACATATACTGTATATAGCAAGGGAAAGCTGAGAAATGAATGGATGTTCAGGAAAAAAAAATATGCCTCTAAAATTTGAGTAATACATCTGATGTGCATGATTAAGAGAGCAAATAACTGGTCACAATGGTCCCAGGTAAAAAAAAAATTACATTTCCCCCTAGAAGCTTTTTATTACAGGACCTTTCAACTACTCAAATTAGTCTGCGGGAGCTGTCCCCTGCAGGCAACAGACGGTGATTTGAGTCAGCATGTGACCAGGATTCCTTTCCTATGCATTCTCAGTCGGACAAATTGATATCAGAAAATGAAAACATGAGAACCTTAACAGAATATTAAATTATTGTGCAGGCCAAGATACTACATGTTCTTACTTCATTTAACCTTTTTCAAACAGGAAAATTCTTATTGTAATATAAATTCTCTTTGACAAGAGAGTCCTCGCCAAGACAGCAGTTGAAAAGTTTCACACAGAGAACAAACAACAGACTATAACAAGCAGAAATGAAATCAGACAATAAGCTTACAATGTGAAGCAGTAAGACATGTACATACACTAATCAGATGATCTCGAATCCTCTTTTTAAGATCATCCAAACAAATTAGTAAAATGCTCTAGCTTAAGGTGACCTTATGGCATAAACAAAGATGAAGAGGCAAATCAAATTAAAGTCACTTTTACCAAAGACAGAGAGAGTTTTAGAGCGTTAACAATCATGATGAGTCCACGAGACTGCAGGTTACAGCTACTGACAGTTTTAGGAATCAGTGGTGAACATAAATAATAAGGAAGTTCATGTAGTACGGCCTTATAAAGATAGATGTACCAATGTCCCATCCTTCTGTTGTATGAGGAAGACAATCCTACTTTCATACAAGACACAATGATGTGTGCGGAAACCTACACCAGAGACCAATCACAACGCAGCATGGTATACTGAGTCCAATATTTTCAGTGACGATGAGGTAGCATGCAGAAGAAGAAACTCATCATAGTAAATTAGTGATAAAAAGAGTGAAAAGCTTGATGAGGTCCCAAAGCTCCAGCAACACTAGGAGTATGAAGAGCAACTTATTGGACCCTGTTTTGGCTTGTCATCAAGTTCAAAGTTCAAAGTTTTTTTTGTATACCACATAAAGAGTGGTATTTGTTTCAGTGGAGTGGAAAAACGTTTTACCCTCATACAGACTCTAACACAAAACAACACGTTTATGACTTAAGAACCATTTTAATATTTGTGTTTGTTTTGTCACAACTCACATTTCCTCCTTTAGGTCCCGACTCTCCATTCCTTCCTTGCGGCCCTGAAGGTCCCTAAAAGAATATACCCAGCCATTACATCAGGCGGTCAATCAGCTGATCAAACATTTAATTAATAACATAGATTAATAGCATATTTCTTACTCTGTCTCCTGGAGATCCTGGGGGCCCATCATGTCCCGAGGCACCCTATGAAATGAGAGAAGAACACTTACATTGAAGGTTGGATTAAACAGCTAACATCGTGTGTTAAACTTTAAACATCAACAGATGAGATGTTTCTTTTTGGGGGGGGGGGAGAATGAGAGGAGAATCAGCTGACCTTTTCTCCTGACTTCCCTGTAGGCCCTTTTGCTCCCCTGGCACCTCGTGCACCCTGTCACAGAAGAAACACGAGTGAGACCTAACACAGGACAGGCAGGAGACAGGAGGTCTCAAACCATCCTGCAGTTTAGGAGACAGAGACTAACTACTGCACACAGCAAACTGATTGGATCAGTAAACACAGGCATGACTCAGATATCTGCAGCATTGGGATTATTAGGGGGATGCATAATGATGATAAAGGTTAAAATAAACAGTATCTCAGGTTTAATGTGAAAAATAATCATTTTCCAAACTTTTTAAATCTGAATTTAGACACAGGTGTCACATGCTGTGTCATGTATTTCAGCTTGATCCTAAAGTGAGTAATGGAAAATTCCCAAGGAATTGAACTTAATTGTACGACATTAAAATTGTTAGCATCCAAGTTGCATTTATTAAGTCATCGCCCACTGAACCAGGGAATGATTTGTGACACAGCACTCACATTTGGACCCCTCTGGCCTGCGCCTCCTGGTTGTCCTGCAGGACCCTGGGTACAAGAGACAGGAAGTCAATGGAGAATTCTGATCTCATGACATTACATCATAAAAATGTAAATCAACTACTCACTTTCTTCCCTTTTTCCCCTGCAGCTCCCAGTAAACCTGGAAATCCATCAGAACCCTGAAGAGGAGGAAGACACACACATTAACATTGCATTAATCATACTCACTCTAATAGTTGTTTGTATTCAATAAATCAAACATTGGTGACTGTTTTATCATACCTTTGGCCCCTGTCGCCCTGGATATCCTGGTAGCCCAGGAACTCCGAGTTTCCCCTACAAAATAGAGACAATACAACTTTCAGCTTCTTCTTCTTTTAAGCATTGTTTCATCAGTATTAATGGACAACTTTATTGATCATGATAAGCATTCTGCATGCAAATTTAGCCCTGCACCTTCTCTCCAGCGATACCAGAAGAACCAGCTTCTCCCAGAGGACCCGTCTGACCTTTTGGCCCCTCAGGTCCATCTTCTCCTCGGCCACCTGTAGCTCCGTTGTCTCCATTGTCTCCCTTTCCTCCCATCTCACCTTTGGCCCCGGGGAACCCGTCCTCTCCCTTCACACAGAATAAAGACTCAAAAGCTGCGTCTCATTTCAGAGGGAGCATCCTACGACGGATCCAGCCTTCGTAGCCCCCGTAGAAAGCTCAGGCTGAACTGAAATTAGACAATCTGGTCTACAGAGGATTCCCTTTTTGTATCACTAGCTGTCCCCGCCCTTACCTTTTCATTACTAAGCATCACTCCTTTCAAGTAGCAACCTGGCAGCTGCAACTAGCTAACCAAAGCAACATTATGTAACTTAACTTTTCTTTTTTTTTTAAAGGATAATTTATTTTCTTTCTCTATTTATTTAATTTGTATGCTTCCATTTGAACGTGATTTGTTTTATTACCTCATGCTGAGTCTGTGCTTGTGTGCTGTAGGCCAATTCATAATTGTAATGCCAAACTTTGATAAAAAGAAAAATTAAAAAAATGGATTCCCAATGAATCTATATGTTGGGCCGGATGGATCCTTCATTGGCCAGGGAAAGGAGGATGCATTTGTCGGCTTCATTTGAAGGAGTATCCTTGATGGGACACTCTTCATTGAGACTCTGTGATGTTACAGGCCCTCAAATGCACAAACTGAAGGATGCGGTCTCTTAAATGGGACAAAGCCCAAGTCTAAATTAGCAGACATCATAAACCCACACATGATCGTTAACAATGGGACCTTGTCCGTTCTTAATGTGGGTAATGTTATAAGTTTCATGCAACAAAACATCCTGATTAGCACAGATTGTACCACTTTACTGCCTCACCTTTTCGCCTTTGCTTCCCTTTAATCCTCTGATTCCATCCGCTCCCTTCAACCAGAAAAAACAAAGAGTAGGTCAACAAGGAAACAGAAAACACATGATGTAGCATCTTTGGTTCTCAAGACTTCCTCATGATGTGGCAAACATTCAATTGATTCAATCCTTTCTTCAAATTCCTAATCTCATGTTAGGGTTTATAATATTGAACTAAAGTGTTGTCTTGAGTGAAATTAACTTTTCTCCAAAAACAAACTGTCTGTAGCTTTATCATCAGATTAAAAAAACATTTTATTGCTTTGATTCATTGTTTGGGATTCCTGTTACTAACAGAGAACCATGAAATTCATCAGGCCACCTTGAATCCACCTTGAATCCCAGGGGTTGTACACAAAATCAGGAATATGAGGCCTTGCATTTAACCTACCTTAACTCCTCGTTGTCCTGGGTATCCAACAGGACCCTGCACTCCGATGGGACCCTTGAAATGACCCACAAATTTAAAGAATAGTTTGATATTTTGAGAAGTAAACTTGTCTACGTATGTTCTTGCTTTGACTGAAGGTGAGATGATGATTAATAATAGTCTCATGAATAAGATTCTACAGCCAGCCAGTAGTCTTTAAGCTTAGCTTAGCACACAGACTGGAAACAAAGGGAAACAGCAGGGCTGGATAATCAACACACTATCTTTCTTGTTAGTTTAACTGCAAAGACGAGTAAAAAAAAAAAAAAAAGACAATTTCTGGCTTAACAAGAGTTAGGAACACTTTACTTCTAGATAGTGGGATTTAAGAGTCCCTCTGAAAATGTGAAACTAATCCTTTGGTGACTGACAGGTTCAAGTTAGAGCAAGAAAACAGGCCTTCATTGAAAACAAACACGCACACATACAGACAACAGACTTACCGGCAGTCCTTTTTCACCTGGAGTACCTTCTCTTCCAGGATGACCCTGTTGAATTTAGAACATGTTTATATCTGTAGTTGGATAGATATAGTTTTGATTTTATAACATGCTTAGGGTCTATCGGATACATAAACAATACGAATCCTCAGAAATATTTGATGCATGTACTTACTGGGGGCCCATCGTTTCCAGGTAAACCCTGCATCCCTTTCTTCCCTTGAGGCCCCTTTAAGAAAACAAAACATCACTCAATAAGGGATTTCTCTTTTACCTCAAAGTAAAAAAAAAAAAAAAAAAACTGAAAGTGTCTTACTTCTCTCCTGGAAGCCCTACTAACCCCTGAGGACCAGGAAATCCCTGCATGATAGATTGAGCATTAGTTTCTTTTAGACCTTAATATGCAATTGTTTTATTTTCTATCTGTTCTCTGCTCGTACCACAATCCCAGGGTTTCCTTGCTGTCCAGGGGCTCCGACTTCTCCGGAAGATCCCTGTTATAAAAAGGAAAATCTGTCATTTAAAATAATAATGTCATCATGCTGTAGAATCCATATCGCTTGTTGTCCACTGTTGTTTTTCTAACCTCAGTGTATTCATGAGCTCTAAGGCATTATCTCACAACATGGATTCAATAAAAAATATGTATTACATTCAACTAGAAGAAAAAGAATGTTTCTTTGCTTTAAAATGCAACAAATTGTTATTCCATTGATTTTAGGAGAAAACAAATAGGAGACAGGAAGGGTATATCACTTCTGAACATTAGTGTAACTTGTGATGTTGTCTTTTTTTTATTATACTCACTATGTTGCCCTTTGAACCTTGAACACCATCAATTCCTCGAATACCCTGTGAGAAGAGAAAGAAAGACAGTTAATGGAAGGAAGTCATCATTTTCTTCTTGTTCTTAAGTACCCTCATGGCACAAGAGATTTGTTCAAACAATAACTCTTTTTTTCAGATGCAGACAAAGCCATATTTCTCTGACTGTGGTTTATTTTCTGGCACATAAACCCTCTATTCATAAAACATAATTTATTTTCGCTGGCAGGCCAAATAAAAGATAAAATAGGACTGCACTGGCTTAATATATAAAACTTTTAATAAATTCAGAATGTCCAAGGTTAGTTAGATAAACCTGCTACTGACATCAACAAAACAAAACCTCGAAACCCATAAGGCCCCCCTGTTGGGTTTGGCTCAGGCACCTCCTTGCTTGAGGCTTCTTATGCTAGATTAACTGACACAACACAAATAAAAATAGTGTCAGATGAACACAAGTTCTAGCTTGTGTTTCTACAAGTGCACCCATATTGCAAATGATAAGATAATGCTCCAGGTGTTTGGTGATGTAATATAGCGTTTGGCTAAGATACGCTTAAATGAGATCAGAATTACATAACATCATGTTAACGAATGGATAAACACAGTTACATCATGATAAGGCATTATCACATGGCTTTATCTAACAGTAAGACCACATCTACATTCATGTTGGTTATGAGAGGAGCCTTAATTTCCCCGCACAGATAAACAAAGAGCTGTGAAAATCAGATAGTTAAGAGCAATGTATGTCTTTAGGCTAGACACTAATAAGAAGAAGATTTACTTTATTGATCCCCGTGAGGGGAAATTTCAGTTTTTACACTCTGTATTCATGCAACACACACATAGGCTGAGGTATATACATACATGCACACAAACAGGATCATATGGGCATGCACTAATGGAGTGATGTCAGAGTGATGGAGCTGCCCACAGTGGGCGCTCCTGAGCTGGTGGTGGGGAGGGGGTTTGGTGCCTTGCTCAAGGGCACCTCGGCAATGCTCAGAGGGTGATCTGGCACCTCTCCAGCTACCAGACCAACTACCAAACTTGATCCACACCAGGACTTGAACCGGCAACCCTCTGATTCCCAACCCAAGTCCCTACAGACTGAGCTGCTGCCGCCCCAAATGTGTCTCACTGTGAATGTTTTGTGACTGTGTGTGTGGCAGTGCAGACGTTTTATGACATTGTGTATATATGTCTCACTCACAATCTGGCCAGCGGGACCAGGACGTCCTCTTGGACCATTCAGACCTCTGGAACCCTGAAAAACACATCACGGTTACATTAAATGAGATATTATTGGTTGTAAATGAGCGTGACCTTCCTTTCACTTTACTATCTTTGTGTCGACCAACTTGAATCTTCCTCTATAAGAAGCAATGGGTTTTTCAGTTTGTATTAGTGTTTGATAAAAAGATCAATGCGACTTTCGATTAATTACAGCAACGTACAGTAGGCTACAGCCAGTAGCCATTTAGCTTAGCACTGAAAAATAGGGATGCAACTAGCCCGGCTACATTCAAGCATAAAACAGCACATAGGAAGCTCATTTATTAAGATGTTATATACCGTTTATCTAATTCTTATTGAAAGTAGTTGTAAAAACACTTTTACCCAATTGTATGTTTTTTTATGTGCAGCACTATTTCTCAGTTTCTTGATATAAATTACCAATAATGAACCCAATGCCAGGAATAGTTATAGGTTAAGTTGATTTTCAGACTTCAGTATTCATACAGGCTAACTACCTTTGTTTTTACAATTCCATGATTGGGCCTGTTTTTACCTCTGACTTTACCAACTGGTTTGGTAATCTCTCAATAGGACCAAGACCATTAAAGTTTCCTATAAAATCATTGTTGTTAAAGAACCTAATCCAGTGGTTCCACTAGCCTGAACCCTGTACTCACTGTGCAACCATTTTATTAACAGTATAATTATTTCTATGAAAAACTAAACTGTGACAACAGCAGATCCTTGGGTTAATTCTTCTTTCATTTCTTTCCTTTATTCTGTTCTTTAGTACCTACTTCCTGCCTTCGGCTGTGTCCACTCACCAATGTCATGATGCAAATACGTTTGTAGGCATATGATTGGTGTATCGAAATTAGTAACGGGTTAGTAAGGGTTATTCTATCATAAGCAAAAATGCAAAGAGTCTTGTTTTCTAAAATGTGTAACAACTTCTGTAAAATGATATTTAGGGTTAAAGTTGGGGTAGGGTGTGTGTATGTGTGTGTTTGTGTGTATGTGTCTTCACTGAAATACTTTATATTACAGTATTTTGGACTAAAATCAGGTTGGTAAATGTAAATCTTTCATTTTTATGTGTCTGATGTTTTCGATTATATGTGACACTTACAGCATCACCTGGTTGTCCTCTTGGTCCGGACGGCCCCTCAGAACCCTACAAAGCAACACAAACATTAATACATCCTGTACTTACAAAAACAAAACACATGACAACCCTGAACCAGAGGTTCCTCTCACCTTCTCTCCTGGCTCTCCAGAAGGACCCAGAGGACCAGGCTTCCCCCTGTCTCCCTGAGAAAAACCACACACATGAAAGTAGTAAGCACGTGGCTTCATGAAGAATCTGTTTAGCACCCCCCACTTATTGAGGCAGATTACTTACTTTATGTCCTTTATTTCCAGGAAGTCCTGGCAAGCCATCAAAGCCTCTATCCCCCTGAGAAAGAAGAGACATACGTTTATATTTTAACGTATTCTATATTCTAATCGACAGAAGAGTCGATTAGCTTTTAACAAGTGACATCACTTCTTCTGCACCTTTGCTCCAGTCTCTCCAATTGCACCGCGACCCCCGTCTGTACCCGCACGACCCTGACAGATATAAAGACAAATTACACATCTTAAATTCTACACTGACTAACTGTATATTTTTGAATTATTGAAAATGACCATGACAACTAACAGAAAAGGAAGAACTTGATTAAGACAAATTAAAATAATATGTCTCACTCTTTTCCCGATGCGTCCGTTCTGACCTGGGATACCAGTCAGCCCTGTAGGACCCTGAGGTGGAAAGGGGGCATAGATCATAAAAGTTGAGTTTGTTTTCAGATGAGCTAGGTGTTATAAAATGAAAAGTGTGTTTTCAAGACAACCAGCTGACTCACCGCTGGCCCCAAATCTCCACTGGACCCCTTCAGCCCAGAGGGACCTGGTACACCCTGGGGGAAAACAAGGTGACAACAAGTTGATGTAAACATGTCCTGTGTGAATCTACCAAATACTGGACCACCACAACAGAAGCCCCATGTCATGGCTTCTTTTTTTTCAAGTGTAATTACACTCTACATGTTTTGGGGTGACTCCTTCAAATGCAATTTTGTCACAGCTCAAATTCAACGCAGCAGGAAACAGAATTAATGAAGAAAAAGTCATCGCTTTACTTTATAAGGATGCCAATTACTATTTTCAATGTCTGACACATGTCGGCTGCCTTAATCTTTATTCAATCAACCAATCTGTATTTGTATGGAGCAGTTCATAACAAATATAATATGATATGATTTCACTCACTAGTGGTCCAGGTCTTCCCCTGAGGCCGAGCGGCCCTGGAGGTCCCTTCATAGCGAGCTAGAAGAGGAGGAAGACAGAGCAGTCCAACATCAGTTCACTGTATGTTTTAAAGATGTGATGGTTATATTTCAGAAGTTTGACTACCTTGGTTTGCTGCAGGATGGCCTGAGCCTGCGCCTCCTGTGCAGACACGACAGTACCCATCTTTGGATCGCCACCTGACTGGAACTACACACATGCACATACAAACACACAAACACATGGAGACAAGATGCTTTTAAGTTAAAGTCAATACCCCACCCAGTGGTCAATATGTAGCACTGCCATCAAAATCCTGCATACAAAAAAAGGTACAGATGAATTAAATTAAAGGGTTATTATGAATAATGAAGTGAAGAAACACAAAATGGAAATGCTTCCATACAGAGTACAATGGGTCTGTGAACAGTTTGTAAGTATGGAAATAATGTTAATCATTGATGGATTGATTTACAAAAAAAAGAAATGGATCAAACAAATAAATCCAATAATACACTGAGGAGATGAATCTAAAGTGTCTGAAACATTAGATGGACACCTCTTTGTAAAATGGATCTGAAGTGTTAAGTGATGAACATCATGGCAAAGTCAAACCAATTTGTCCAAAAAATCCTGATCCATACACTTTCTCAGTTACAATATGACAACATTCAAATGTACCCTGAGGCCTAGCAAAGCGTTTTTAGCTCCAAATAACATCCATAGCAACCTGATGGCAGATTGTAAAGACTCAGGCACTAAGGAGTGTGTTCATGTTACCGGTATGAGCATTATGTTTCCTGGGGGTCCTGGTATCCCATCAGCCCCGTTAATGCCTGGCCGCCCTGGAGGGCCCTGAGAGGAGGCAGAGGACGAGAGTTATGAAGGGACATTAACTTAATGTGGACTCATGTCAATCACAGAGCAAACAGGTGACAGTCCTCACCAGCTCCCCGGGGTCTCCTCGAGGTCCTACAGGTCCTGTGATTCCTGGAGGCCCTGGCTCCCCCTGCAAAAACACAGACCCACAAAAACAAAATATAGCTTAAATAAAGGCGCTTAATGTTTCTTGTGCCATAAGCTCAATGACTTTTTTCACCATTCCTACATGCAGGGCTTGTTTTGCACATGAACATTGAGAAAAAGTGATATTCTTTTGCAGAGAAATATACTGACCTCAGGTCCTGGAGGCCCGTAAGGTCCGGTAATCTGTGTTCCCTGCAGAAACAATACAGATATGAACTATTTCTTTGTTAACTTTTCATGACAGTTATACTACTATAGATCAAAACCTGACTTCCTGTACTGTTATCCTAACAATCCTAAAAATGAAGAGTTTCTAATGAGAGGTGATTGAGGATCTCACTTATCCATGAAAGAAATGTAAAGGGTGGGATATTTCACATTTACATTATTTTTTGGACTTTTGATGGTAAAAAAAATGTGACATTATGACGATAATTTCCATTCCTCAATTTTTCAAGAAAACCAATCTGACTGGATACAATCTGACTCTAAATAACAGTCATACATTTTAGTGTTTGATTTATTAATAAATGGGGCACCTTAAAAATAACGTACAATAGTTACAAAGTCATTCAAAACAACAGTGTTGCTATAAAATTATCCCCATCAGTTATTGACAGCTTTCCCAAAATGACCAAATATAATTCTCATATAACCAACCATGTTTTTTTACCTCTGTGGCACTTCTGAACAGCAGTTTCCTGTTTCTTATAGGCAAACCTGTACACTGATACCAATTTATCTCTGACAACTCGATGTTGGTCCCCCCTTTCAGCAAACAACGATCGTTAAGTTAGGTAACATCCAGAGCTTCTGAGTCTTCACTGCTGTCTCGTGTTTTCACACAAGCTGTCAATCTTGAATTATTTTCATCATCTTAATAAAGAATCCACAGGTCAACCCAGAAACACCTACTATAGATATGAGATAGATGTCTTATTGGATCAAAGAACAAGTATATTTGATCGATGACTTCCTTCTGGTGCTTAAAAATGTCAAACTCAACACACTGACCACGATTAAGTCACAGTTCAAAACTTTCAAATCAATATGAAGCTTCTTAATAGTTTTTCTTACCGCTCCCAGCTGGCCAGGCGCTCCTTTTTCTCCTTTCTCTGGTAAATCCTTACAAGAAGATGAACAAAGACTTTGAACACGGTATTAATGCAGAGATGGGTAGTTTTCTAATCTGTTAACTTCATCCTTCAATTTAACTGTAAAGATCTCATTGCGACACAGTTTGGATAATACCTGCGTGTTAAGAGACATCTCCCGTTCTCTCTCGGCCGGTCCGTAGCGATCGTCATCTTCTTCTTCATATTCATACTCATTAACATGGTAGTATTCTGTTGTGTTGTCGTAGTCTTCATACTCAATGATCTGCCCAACAAACACACGCAAATTTCAGTTGTGTGAAATGTGGAGAAAAAAAGGTGAAAAAAGAAGTAAGGAGGTAAAGACGACATGTGAACAATTAGCTTATGCTGCTTTTCATCCTGATGAGTCTCACCTCATACTCTGTGACGTTAGGGCCTGAGGTCACCGTAGAAACAGAGAGCTCATCATAGAGGTCACTGTAGTCAAACTCCTCGAACTCTTCGAATACGTGTTTCTTTGGGACTCTCTCCACCTGAAGGCCATAAAAAAAATCAATATTGGTGTAAAAAGGTCCCCAAAAAAACACATTAATAACATTAATACATGGGTTAATGTGTATGATAAAATGTGCATAAATATAATGAAAGAACCCATTGAAACATCAGATTCTTCTTGTAGTGCTTTCTGGCAAACAGACCTTAGAAAAAAGCCCACATGTGGCAAACATAAAGTTAAGTTTTTGTTATTTATATTTGCTCCTTTGAGGCATCATGTTGAAGCATGATGGCGTCATTAGAACACAGAGTGTTTACATCTCAAGTTTACTGTTGGCTTCTTCCTGCTGATAACCTGGTGAAGGTGCTAAAATAAAAACAACAGAACACACATCAACCAGGATTCCTGAAGTGTTTTGAGCTGTTAGCTGGATGATAAATCAAACAGCAGCAGAGGAAGGTTTGAAACTCTTCCCAGGCTAGCAGAGAATTGGCACCGAGAAGCTGGCAACGTATCACAAAAGCATGTCTTGTGTTTTGAATACGGAGATCAGAGGATACAGATAAGAGAGAACTTAAAAAAAAAAAAAGAGAGAGCTGGGTGGACACATGCAGCTTTTTTATGACTCAATACTTTGTTCATTACTTACTGTATCATTCTATCAGCATTAAATAAACATCTGAGTGATGCTTCTAGTGGTGAAAGTTTTTGAGTGTAGAAACAGATGTAGACAAATTCTGCGCATGCAAATTGGATCAATATAATAAAAACCACAATGTTTTGAGCTGAATGCATCATTTACATTCCATGCTAAGAGTCTTATCCACAGCCCGCGGTGAAGTTTTAATTTATGACAATCGCAGTGTGAAAAATTATGACAGACAATAATGAAAACATTCGTCTTCTGTCATACATGCCCTCTAAACTGTTCATAAATAACTGTAATGGTTTTACTCCTACAAATGAACCCCGGGGGGGGGGGGGGGGGGGGGCTTTTCTTTGAAAGCAACAGTCTGGATTTACAACATCTTACACCTGAGATGCCTCACAGAGGTTGTTACATGGGAAACCTAGCAGGTAGGATTTATTGGGATCCCATTGATCATTGTGCGTTCAGGCTGACATGCGGTTAAGCCTTCTGTGATTGGCTGTTAGAATGGGGACTTAAATAACATGCAAACCAAACTAATTCATTTATCTGGCAAAAGTGTCTGGACCTCCTCCCAATCAGATTCCATCCATTCTGATTCAGGTCTTGTAAATCAGAAAAGTTGATCAGTATGGGTTGGTTTTTAAGCATCTTTGAGGAATTTCTGCTTGCAATCAAGATTGCTGCAGCTGAAATGGAATGCTCTGAATCAGCTCTTGCATAATCACAGCTGTCAATAACTCATCCTAAAAAAACGAGCCGAGCACCTGGAAACAAGCTGAGTTAACATTTGCAGCACCTCAGCCTGCAGTCAATTTTGACACCCATGTCTGTGTGTCTGTAAGCCTTAAGCCTGATCTTCAACATGAAATTGATTAATTATGTTTGCTTAGCCTTAAATGTATACTCGGAGAGAAAATAAATGCTGCCATTTACTAGCATTGACTACATTACACAACAATTAAAGAGAAATCAGGTAACCTTCGTTGCTCTAAAACAGTAGCTACCCATTGTATAGTGACAAATATCCATAATTTAACTTTAAAAACATTACTGCTCTCTCACAGTGTTCAATTCCAATTTGAATCACTGCATCTCCCCTTCATGACTCCTCATGGGGTTGTTAATGATGTAAGAGAAACATGAAAGAAGTTAATTGGCCAAAGAAAAAGTTAACAGTGGTATAGAAGAATAATAAATGTGGGAAAGTGGTACAAAGAAGTTAAAGGATAAAGTGTAATTATATCCTTAAGTTAATCAGATATTGTGTTTTTTTTCTTATAGCTGTACCATGGTATTTTCGTTATTGTGGACAATGTGTCAGGTACGGTATGACATGGCATGGCATGGTATGGTATGGTATGATATCCTGAGTTACCCTGCAATTCCCACCCTTAATAACGAATGTTGAAAACGAACTTACAAGTTCAGGAAATGCCAAGTGGACTTACCTCCTCAGCCTCTGCTAATATGGTGTTGTAGGGCAAAGGTGCGTCACAGTCTGGGATGTAGTCCTGACAGTAGGTCTCTGCTGCCCTTGGGTCTTCAACAATCAGCAGCTGCTGGATGTCTCCCTGTGTCAGAAAAAAACGTGCAAATCTGTGACTCATCACACATTAGTGAAACCATATGACCATAAGGAATGCACATGAGGTGTCACATAATATTATGCTTCTCATCACTCTCCCTCGCTGTGCTATAAGTTGTCACATATATGAATGACATGTCATACCATCTGTCTTCATCTTTGACCGTATGTGTTCATTAAGTATGATCAAAGTGGCTAAACAGGCTGTTTTTCTTTTCTTTTCTTTTAATCGCTGCGCTGCACTTAATCGTCTCCAGAGCTTCAGACTAAACTTGCTGCCAGCATATTTCGGCCAAACTCTTCCTTCCTCTGCTCAATTTTTACACATCCACACACATGGAAGAGAGCCCAAGACAAAACAAGGCCTGGGTGTTGTCCATTTAAACAGATGGACCACCTGACATTATACTGAAAACAAAGGTCACCGACAGGATCTGTCAAAATGACCTCCCACTGCTGAAGACAACAACAGAAACGGAATGTATACAAGCTGAATATATATTTAACAGAGTAATTGAAGGAGTTTATGTCCAGAAGTTGTTGTGAAAAACATTCAGTAATTCGTGAGTTTAAGCTAAAGTGGAATTCTGCAAAAACTGCAGATAAGAAATATTTAAATAATAAGGACTCTATAAGCCAAACTAATTGTCACAGCTTTTACTGCAAACATTTAATAATCTGCACTGAAGGTTTGAAGCAGAAGTAAAGGAGCAGTATACCCTCCCAACCACTGGAGGGCAGCGAACAAGACAGGTCTGTTTGTTTATTCATTGTCCCCCTTTGATGGAGAAATCAAACAAGCTGCAACAAGCAGAGACACTTCCTTACAAGACACACAAGGAACCGATCATGTGTTTTCGTTTTTTTGCCAAGTTTTGTTTGAAAGCCAAATGAGTTTATTCTTAACACAGGGGATGATGTGGAGGAGATTAACTTAGTTTTTTTTCATTAAATGTGAGCGAAACTGTGACCGTTTCACTTCAAATCATTTCCTCTTCAGCTTTTAACCCCTCCAATGTGTTCCTGTGAACACAGACCTACCTCAAACACGCCTTCATCAAGCAGTCTTGTCCCAAACACTGTCACTCCCTCGATGCTGACATGTGGGTCAAAACCTCTGAGCAGCTCCAAGGTGTCCAGTTTGACACAGTCCAGGTACAGAGTCACAGACTGACCCTCCACACTGTAGGCGACTCTGTGCCACCTGGCAGAAAGCAGAGAAGAAGACATTCAGCTCTGTTCTAACTTTCCTGAGTCGGTTTTCAAGGCGATGACAAATCATGAAAACGTTGTGAATGCAAGGACAATGTGAAACTGTGTGACAGGTTTTCTCTGTTTTTATTGTGTGTAGTTACCCACTTGCCATCAGCCAGATTGATCTTTCTAAAGGTGGGGTAGAGTTCAGGTGGGGGCTGACCCTCATGGTCCTCATAGAGGAAGACAGGAGAACGACCGATCTCCACACCTAGTTGCTGCGTGCCCTGAGAGACACAGAGACAAATAGAACATACTGAAGGAGGGACGATGGGATCAAATGATTATTAGACAAGGGGTTTCATTCTACTATATATTTTCAATCTATTTCATATTCTATTGACATTTTAATGCTGCATGAATAACACTGAACTGTAACTTTTACTTTTTTATTTTGTAACTTGATGTTTTGTGTGAAGCATTTTAAATTGCTTCTTGCAGTTTTTCCTATTTGAAAAAAACCTTCCTTGCCTTGCTTTTTAAAGTGCTTTTTTTTTTGCCACTTAAGGGCCCAGATTGTTTTTTTTTTTGTGCCCAACAACAGGATTCCAACAGAGACTGACCCCTTTTGTAAGTGACATCCCTTTCTGTTAAACCAGAAACAGAAGTCTCGCTCAAGGGGGCGTCTCGCTCTGGAAACTAGTAAGAAGAAAGTCTTTGCAGGAAGACAATTGCAGAGATGTCAAAGTTGAAAACAATCTTTTTTTTCTTTTCTGGAGTAGAAAAGGAGAGAGTAGCTAGTCAGACCATAAAGACAATAATTTGTGACTGTTGGTGGTAATTTCGCTTTGCTCTTTTATGAGAAGCTGCAGTTTGTACTTAAACGGGGGGTAAACCTGGTAGACAGAATGAGAAGATAATATACACAAAACAAGCAGAGTTGTTGAATATAAAACATGCATGGGCAGATCCAGGAGGTGGCTAGAGCCAACCTTGCATTCTGATTTGCCACCCCAAAAATCCTTCACTATTATTCGATATTTGCTCTTTTAGACACAGGTCTATTAAGGCTGTTTTTCACAAGCCTCTAGCAGCTTTCTTTGAAATAATGTAGCACATTTACTTTTCTTAGTGCTTAAAATGTAACCAGGAAATACATCTCTGAGTTACTTTAATGATGGTATTTTAAGTTGATATGATCAATGGAGATAGAGAGGCTAAATAAATGCTATTCATTCATGTGTTTGTGCATCCATACTTCATGCCACCCCACCCCTGTTAACATGATGAGTGAACATCTGGTTTGAACATCCTGATGTGATGCAGTGTGTTTGATGCGTACCTGCGAGTCATAAATAGAGAGGAGGAAGGCCTGCGAGCCTTTAACAGCTCTCACTGTCGCCATCACGGAGAAATTCATAGGGAACGATGAATCTGTGGAAGATGCACACAGAGTCATCACCTGCTTCTGTGACCAAATACATTCAGAAACACACTTAATGATTTACATTTGGGGAGAGGGATGTCTGTGGCAACCTGCTTCGCCTGCTGACACCCTGACCCAGCCCAGATAGTGAGGTAGAAAATGTATGGATGGATTATACATACCCACACATATTATACCTACCAGGGAAGAGTTGTTTTGAGGGCGCGCTAAGTTGAATCTTCTTGTCGATCTTATAGGAGAGGTCTGTCTCCTCGCGTCCCTCCCTGCTGGTGCACAGTCCTGACTCCAGCGACACGCCCTCCATATCCTCTGACAGCTCCAGAACCTTCAGGACATCAATAGGATTGGCTGGAAAGAGATCAAACACATTTTAACTGAGAAGGCTGGTAGGATTTACCAATCTGCAGGTCTCTCTGGCATCAAGCAGGTTCATCTTCTCTGCATCCAGCAGCATGTGTCAAACATTTGACATAATTTAACTTGAGCTTCAGCACCAAATCATTTTCTAACTGTGCTTGTTCACGTGTGTGACAACTAGGGGTTCAATGATCCATCAGTCAACGTTATTTAACGGTAAACAGGACGAAGCAATTATTTCTGTGCATTCTACTCTATGTAGCGAAACCACGATTCCAGTAAAACAAAAACTAAAGTCAGTTCTTCACTGCCTCACGATGTGTCACAGATTTCATCCAATTAAAATCCCATAATGTCACACAAAACTACACGAGATACACGTATTTCTACACAGGTTTTTGTTGTCTCTTGTTAAAAAGAAGAATGTTTAATTTTGAATGTCAGAAATGTTTCAGTAATAAAATTGTCAAAATTGCTCTTTTTTAGGTCAAATCATAAATTGATCGCAGGCCCCTGAATCAAATCATATCGAAACCTTTTCATGGCAAACCGTTTGAAAGTGACAAATATCACATCATTGTCCAGAGAATCTATATTTGAATAATTTAAGCCAAACAATCTCTACTTAATGGCTTTGCATTTTAGAATTTAGCACCAAGTCATTGACTGAAAAACATTTCTCATAGCAGTAGCTTAAATATTGTGAATTTAAATAGCTTTTAATAGCTTGAGGAGCTATCACAATGTGATTGATCCAGGGCTGCACACAGTTATGCATCAGCAGTGCTCCAGGAGGCCATTTTGAGGAAAAGAAGAAGGAAGTAGCTACCTTGGAAAGAGCTAAGGAGTCAGCTGTTTTGGAGGAATTTCATGCTTAGCTACGCCAACATGTTCTACCTGGAGAGCAGTGTTTTACAGAGTTATGAGTAAAGCCTGACGTTGCCTTTCCATTGAAAGAATGAGTTTCACAAAGCAAGGCAAATCAATTTATCTAACTGTAGTATATGATTGACACTCAATGAAAACTTCCATGTAATGATATAAGGGCTGAAAAAAGCAGTGCATCATAAATACATGTTCAAACAAAGTGAACACTTTCTTTTAATTTACACACCTGCATGTTTTTCTGTGATGTAACCCCTCAGACATGCTGGTCTTGTAATTGAACTACCTTGTAAACAAACTAATGACAAAGTTTATCAGTCAGACCATGTGCTTTTTGTCAGTCTCAGTCTTTGTAGGATGCTAGTCTCTCTTAAGGACACATACTTGTTGCAGAAGCTTGGTGTAAACATAATAACACCCAAAAGCAAAAGTCTGCATCACACGACAAAGACTGATATCAGAGGGAGGTAATGAACACATGTTCAACAATAATGAGCCTGAGCGTGCACACGCACACAGACATTTGAAATGCCTAAGATGCGGTCAGGGCGGCAGCTTGAGCAGAAATGCAAATCATATGTACAAACATTCTTTTGAACAGAGTAGACACAATGCTCACAGAAATCTATGAGGTGGACTAAGCAGAAAAAGATGGGATATTAAAGACAAGTCTGGGGAAAGGACAGGAGAAAAAATGTGCAAGAGGAGATGAAGGGGTAAAAAGGGAAAGAAGGGAAGTAATAGATGGTAGGGGAGAGCAGAGGAGGGCATGCCTCTACTGGTATGGCTTCTTTTCACACGTATTTCTGCAGCTTACGTAAACCCTCCATCTGTCTCGCACCTTTCAACGCACACACACACGTGCGCGCACACACACACACACACACACACACACACACACACACACGTGCGCGCACACACACACACACACACACACACACACACCACACACACACACACACACACACACACACACACACACACACACACACACACACAAGTGCACACGTGCAGGCACACAAGACAAAGAGGTTGGCATGATGTCCCAGTCTGAGTGCCAGATGTATTAGCTGCCTATATTTTCAGTTCTCCATCTGTCTGACAGCACAGCTTGCCTGCTGGCATTCTGTCAGCTCTGTCTTCAATGTTATTTACTGATACAGCAAATATTGTGAAATTAAAGCTGCCAGAGATTTTTTGTTTCTATATGAGCAGAGAAAAGTCTTAAAAAGTTGATGTTAGCACATTTTTTGTTGTCATTGATTTGTGATCCTATTGCTCCCTGCAGCTTCAGAGTTCATGGTGTCATACAAACAAGAAATATACAGTATATACACTGCAGCTAAATATGATACATAGTCGGTGTTTAATAATATCATACGTATCTCTGAAACCTAAGTAAGCACCCAATAGTACTTGAAGTACATTCTATTTAAGGAGTGGTAAAGGAGTTTCCACCAACACATTAGTGGCAATAGAAAACCAAACAGACATTTACTTTGTTTGACTTTCAGCTCTGCCTTGATGTCAACAACACTGAATTATTCTACAGTATAACAATAAGGTTTCTATTGAAACTCTAAGCAGACACACATCCATACATTTTAGTAACTTAATTTTCCCATGATGACAAGAATTTATAGTTCTTTTCTTGAAATCCTGGCTAATCTTTCTTGTTATCTCTAAAACAAAAGTTGTTTTCTCGTGTTAACAGGACAGATCTTTGGTGATCTAGAAAACAAAACAATAGCTTGGTACAGTAACTGTGATAGGCCACACCTAGGCATGCCATGCTGCTATTTCACAAACTTTCCTGCAGCGCTATATAGTAGAGGCGGCGCCTTGACAACACTCTCCCTCCGCCTTAACTGCGATTGTAGAATTTATTTTTTAAATTCAAATCCACCTGCGTCTCTATGTGAGATCCAACAACAGCACCAGTTGCTGTTGGATGCTCAGTTCGTATCACTCCCCAGGGTTTGGGCCGCAAGTGATCCGTGGATCATTCACTGTACAAATAGTAAGTAAATTCAGCCTTTTAAAATATATTTTTACACAAGGTTTTCTTAGGCTTTCATACAGAGACATGTAGTAAAGTGTTGATGTTTCATTGTGTATTGTTACTTTGTTTCACACACAACTTTTATTCATCTCACCTTGACTGTCTCTTATGGTAATTAACTCAACAACCTGCTGTAGTCTGTAGCTGCAAACTTACACGAACAAATTCTGTTACAGAGCGCTGTGTTCTGTCCAAAAACAATGCTCTAGCCCCTAAATGCACACACCTCCTTTGGAGTTTTTGTCTGACTACACTACACAGCATGTGCTGCAACTGCAAGCCAGCTACTACCTTAACTGGCAAATTGCCTAGAGGAAACACTGAATAAATACTTTAAATAACTCTTTATGTCAGATCTTTGTTTGTAGACATTCTCTATGTGGTTACTACAGTCTACCACTGATATGCATCTACAGCCTGCAAGGAAACTCTAATTAGATAGTTGAAGTGCACAGTATATACTACTGTTCATTCACACAAAAAGATGTTGCTTATTGTTCAGACAAAGCATAGACAAATGTGTGCCTTTCTTAAATTCACACCCACACATGCTTTTCATTTTATGTGACTGTGGAGGTGTGTTGTCCAGTGAAAAAATTAACATTAACATTTGATATGTCTCTATAATAATATTTAGTCCCATAGATAATAGAAACCATAACTTGTAGCAGAATCCAATATGACATCACACGTCACAGTCTTAAAATTAACCAGAGAAGAATCCCCCACTAGTTAAAACATCTGTCTGGACTGTTAGTCCTGTACACATGGATTAATAAACAAATTAACAGCAAACACATTGTTTATTTTTCAAAGTGTTTTTTTCTGTTTCTTGAGGTTGCACTTCTGTTTTTGTTTTACCAAAGCAAATTCCTGTCAGTTAAGTCATGGCAGCTTCATGATATGGCACAGACTAATAATGGGTGCAAGACAATATCCTGTTAAAAAAAACCACTTCATTAATGGATCAGTGAAGTGACCTCATAGAAGCCTCTGCACATGTCCTCTGTTATTGTTTGAATTTCGATACCACTCCTTTTTTTGTTCTTTAAATATGTGACTCGAGCGTAGACTATATAAAATATGGATGTAGTCACAGTGACGTCATCCAAACATTTTCATTACTTCATCCAACCGTAACCAACAGCCTGATGACTATCCGAAAAGACTTATTTCTATATATGTTTGCCAGAAAGTCTATCAACTTGATCAGGATCTTGTGTAGCTATGTCCTTGTTTAAAACTTCACATTCTGATGAGAACACCCATTTAGAGCACACAGAGGTTCAAGTACACATAAATATTTGCGAGCCAGTTTGGAGAGTTTCGGATATCTCGCTCACCCTGAGGCTCTCCACCACAGCTGTCTGCAGAGATAGGAGTCTCCCTCATGTTAGATTAAATCTTCTGAATCGCACCCTCGCTGTTGCCACAGCATTACTGTCTTCATTTACTGAGGTCGAAAGCATGCAATGGTCAAGTTATGATGAGAGCGTAGATCAAATGGCGAACTCCTTCAGACAGCCCGATGGCACTGCAGTGCTGATAGACTGTACATTTAGAATTTTCAAATTAAGAGTAACCATCAACAGCCCTACTGTACATAGGCAGAAACAAATTGCCTTACACTGACTACAACTAATGCAATCACTGAACAGCACTGTAAATCTTCTCATCGAACTTTCAGCAAGAAAACAACGAAGCTGATATGCAAAAATGTCAAACTTTACTTTAAAAGTCCTCTGATTGATTTTACAAACAATTATTCTTTATATATTTTTACTATCGAGTGACATAAAACATTGTTCCCTCTGCATCACAATTTAATCTAAGATATTTCTAATGATACTGCCATATTTTGTGTACCATCATGAGTCTCTTAAACATACTTTCATTGAACTTCCAACAAGAAGATAAACAGTTTTACAAAAACGTCCAACTTTACCTCAGTCCTCTCATTAATTTATATCAAAGATCCATTGCAAAAGTCTATTTCTATGGACACGTTTTAAATGAGCATGACAAAAACCTTGATGCTCGTGCA